TTTTCACTTTGCCATCAAAAATTTTTGATTATTTTCTTGGTCACCATAGATCACACGGAAAAAATATAAGCAACCTTCAGCTTACACAGTTTTTGTTTTCGCCACTGTTAGTGTTGATAAGAAATTGAACAGAGTTTTGTTTAAATGGTTTAACATTTTCAATTATCGTTATTATCGCTAAACTATGAAGCTGGGTCACTGTTGATGAGATATTGAACGTGTACATCGCAAATATCTATAAGATGAGATAGTGATCAAATAGATAGAAATGATATTAAATTAGTGATAGTGAGTGATGATTATGATGTGATTTCAGCGAAATGCGCTGTGAATTCGGCCTGGTATTTGAAATGTAACGATGATGATCTGAAATGTGATTGGGAGGTATGGGATCGTCTATTGCGAGCACCCACTGCACCTCAGGGTACGGTTTGTTCACGATTAAGCAACGATCAAGGTAAATACATGGACTTCCCATCAATGCGTGACCTGCTCAAAGAACTGTGCCGTACCAAGGTTTTTGATTCAAATTTCTTTCAGTTTCACCTTTGCCCTTGTTTTGTGGTTTTCAATTTTTGCTTTTTATGTTTTGATACGACGCTTGCGTTCAACTGTATGTGATTGATTTAAATGATTGGACATATGACAATCTGAATGAGATTTCCAGAGGGATGTGGATATGTCTGAATATGTCAGATCGGGTTTTGAATCAACTCACCGATTGTTTGTTTGAGGACTGATACTGATTAGGGAACAGGTGAAAAATTGATCATATGAATGGTCATATGAAAAATTCAATTGCATTTGGATGATGTTTTGATTGAAGAATGCCGTTCCCTCCCGTCAAAAATGAACGATCGAAGTCTCTTGCTTTTGCAGGTTTTCTGTGCAATGCCACCATATGAAATTGATGATATTCGGCTATTGCCAGGCTTTAATTATGCAGGAAAATGCATAAGTGAGTTATCATAAATTATCCATTGTTCAGTATCATCGTCAATTGTCGATTATGAGACCGCGGATAATCA